AATACTGGCAATTTGAAATTGTATTCTTTAACGATTAATGTAGCTTTCAATCACAATTTTAATCGAATGGTTTGTTTTGTACAATACATACACTGTAAGTGAGAGAAAACTTACGTAAATGATCGCCATGGATTGATCGTCATGGATCGATCTTGCTAAAATCTATCATACGACAAACCTTATGATCGAACTAAAAGAGGACTATCATGGCACGACCACCATGGCTTGATCAAGCCTCCACGGTTCGAACATTTTGGATAAGGCTAAGCAAAGATCGCCACAGTTCGGCTGACATGGCTCAATCTTTCCAAATCCATCATAGGCCATACCTTATGATTGGACTAAAAAGGATCATCATGGCATAGCCACCATGACTTGACCCTACCAAAGTCGTCATAGTTCAGGAACTAGGTTAGGCTAGGAGAAGATCACCATGGTTCGACCACCCTAGCTCGATCTTACAAAGGCCACTATGGTCCAGACACCATAGTTTGACCGAAAAGGAGTCGTCACAGTTTGGTCATCGTGATTTGATCTCACCAAAGCTCAACATGGATTGAGCGTCATGATGGGATGAAACTAAGGTAGCCATGACTTTGTCATCATGGTTCGACCTTACCAAAGCCACCACAGTTCGAATACTAAAGGATGTCTAGTCAAAAATGCGATTAAGGTTATGGTTCGGTTGAATAATGGTTAGCTTGATATGGTCTAATATAAAGGACCCAAACTATTAATGAGTATTAACAACTCTTTGGTCCAACTTTTCGAATAGTAGGAGACATCCCATGGGTAGCTTTGAAAGGATGTTTGAATTTAGTTTTAGTCAATCGTAAGTAATTTCAGATTAGGTTTGAACATCGAGATCTAAATAAGATCTTGATTCAGATCAATTAATTTGGAATGAGTATAAGACGAGTTGCAATGAGAGAGAAAGACCAGTGCGTAAAAGGGCAGAAAGTTACAACCCTCTAATGTACCTACCCTATTTATAGTATACTCACGTATACAATGAATACTCGGACTTCATCATTACATAACGAATCACTAATGTGCCTAGTAATTACATGCATAACAAAGTCTTGTAGACCTTCGTTATTTACAAACTATTCGTAGTTAAGTCAACTACCTAAGGTTTGACATATCACAACACATATAGACTTTACATTCCCTTCTTTGTGATTAATTTCGATTATTTAAATTGAGGGTAGTATCTTTATAGTCTACAAGAAAACTTTTTGAATCTCCATGTACCATAAGATGATCTTCCTTATCTTCGCCCTGTCTTCGTTCAAATTCTTCTGATGGTTGTTGATATGAAGAAGGATACTAGAAAGATGTTGGTTTGAGTATGGTTCGACATTATTGGTATGAAATAAAATTTTCTTGTTTCTTCCCTTCTTTCCTTTTCCCTGAAACAGAACACTTAACTATTTGTGTATAATTTCTCCATCTTTGTAATCAGTTAAGTTTAATTTCCCTTTCAACAATACTTAGGAACCTTTGACTTTCTATTGAAGGCAATGGAGAGATCAATATCAATCAAAGCCAAGTGAGAAAAATAAGCATCCAAGAAGGTCTTGATATGTGCATATCCAACGATGTACGAAGCTTTAATCTTGTTTGACATTGTACGAAGCTTTAAGCATCCAAGAACTTTTGTTGACAATGATTTTGATATTGATTTTAACATCCAAAACAAGATTCCTTTTGAAAAACTTTTTGATCTTGTAAAAAATTCTTTTGAGCTTTCTTTGAACATTGTTTTAATCTTGTTGAACTAGTTTCACTTTTGAACCTTGATCAACCTTCGTATTTTGAGAAAAATTACTTTGACTCTTGTTCTCAACCTTTTTATTAACAACTTTAGGAACTACTTTCGAAGGTCTTTTTGAAACATCAGTTTTGGGTTTTTGAGAAAACTTCTTTTCTTGTGTTTTTGGTAATTTTTGTTTCAATTTCCTTTCCTTTTGAAGATCTCTTCTTTTCTTCCAATGAGCTTTGTTTTGAGCTTTCTTTTTGGAAATTTCATCTTTTATAACATAATTTTCATCACCATTTGCGAAAGTTTGTCTTTGCCTTTTGATTGTTTAAATCATTTGACAATGGCTTTGCGCAACTTTTCTCTGCTTTGCCTTTGTCATTAGGCTTGGCAGTTTTCACAACCCAAACATCATTTTTGTTATTTTTATTTTCTTTAGGAAAAGATTTTTGAATCTTTTGACATTGAATTTTTTTGATCTTTGATTCAAACCATTTTCAACCACATTTTGGTTAGAGTAAAAACCTTCATTGGTGACTTTTGAATTATCTTCTTAAAAGAATTCATTCAACTCTGGATTGACTTTATCCCAATTTCCTTTAGTTATGAAAGCTTGATTTGGGAGTCCTTTAATAATAGTTGGATAAATAACCGAGTTTTGTTCAAGAAAATGTTTTCTTTTTTCTTTCAAAACGTTTGTGAATTCTTTAGAATCCTCATTCACTTTAGCTTCAACAAACTCGTGGAATATCCTTTTCACAAGAATCATCATCCTTGTCATCTTCATTATTCGTTATGTCTTCAACAACAACAAGCTCTTGATAATCACCACTTTTGGTTGTTGTAGACGAATCATTGTTTTGCTTTGTTTTTTAATCATCATTTTCTTTGCTTTTAGCTAATGAAGTGATATTAATAACATACAATTTTTAGCAATCTGCCCATTCCTTATTTCATCTTCCTCAATTTCACTGATATTATCAAAATCATCTCCGATATCAGCAAAATTGTTTTGAGTAATTTGTGTCGAATTCTCAGTTTTGTTCAAAATTTTCATTTGTCATTTTTCGACAAAGTATCATTCACAATATCACCTAAATCATCAGAATCCAAGTAATCATGGACATTAACAGCACCTTAAGCATAAGAATCATTAAGAACCTTGTCATATTCAACTACTTTACTCTAGCAATCAACACTAGTTTCATCAACTAATTCATGTTTGAAATTTATGAAAGGGAGTAATGTCCTATGTTGTTCCTTGCATATGTCAGGTGATTGATAAAGATCAGTTAACTTCTCATACAAATGTTTAGCAGTGTTACCGTAAATATTTCTTTGCTTAACTAACATGATATTGTTTATTCACAACGAATCCTTATCTACCACAACATTTGTGATTTTTAAATTTAGGCCTTCTATCCTAGTATTCTTCTCCTCCAATTTATTTCTTGCTTTGTAAAACAATGTCCTCCGCTTCGCTACTCATATAAATCAACATATCATTCAGTAAGAGCAAGTATCATCAAAAATCAGATAAAATAGCATGGAAAGAATTTAAAGGAACATTAAGATAAATAAGAAGATCACGTACCTTCTCGGTCATTGGAGACTTTGAAGTAGTGGTTACAAAGCATCTTCAAACCATTATCTCTTCATCCTCTTCACTCTCCTCTTTTTTCTCATCTCTAATCTCCATCTCCGACTCTTCCCAGTCACTACCAACCAAATCTTCACCAACCATGCTATTATTTCCTGAATAAGATCCAACATGCTTTGCGAACGTGACTCCATGAGTAAGATGACACATTTATTCATCATCGGAGCCTGAACCATATTTGATCGGTTCCATCATCATTGTTGGAGTCCTTCGCCATCAATGAAAGATTCTTTGTTTTGGAACAAAGTTCTTTAAGCTTCATATTGTAGTACTCCTCATCCTTCACCTTTTGTTTCTTATCTTCCTACTTCCTTAGCATATAATCCTTCGCAAGATGATTATACCTATTATAATAGTTGCAGTTATAACCGGAATCACCTTTTAGCTTCTTCTCTTATTCTTTCTTCTCCACCTTCTCCGTACTCTTTTGTCTAGCACTAGAGTTCAACAATGGTTTTTTCATCAAGTTGTTTTTAAAGTTTCCACTGATAGGATGTTTGTAGAACTTCTTGACCTTATTATTGGAGTAATAACAACATCTTCATCATTTGAGTTAAGTAGGAAACCTACTTCATTTTCCTCAACTTAAGAACCATTCTCCTTTCCAGTTATTTTTTTTAAATAAGTGTCATTGGACCACCAAAATTCATCTTGCTATTCTCTTCAACTATCTCCTTCACTTCAGACTCATGTGCTTTAAAGATATTGTAGATATTCGATAGAGAGTAGGTGTCCAAATTTATCTTGTGTTTTGATCATTAGATAAATGTTCTTCCATTATTTCTTCAAGCCTAAGATAAAGGTGATATTGAACTCAAGTGTGGTACGAACAACACCATATATGGTACACTTGTAGATAAGATCATTGAATCCATCGTAATATGCTTCAATAGACTTAGTCTCCTTCTGCTTGAAATCAACCAATTTCGATAAGCATTGAGTGATGGAGCTCTTCTTGGTTCGTTCATTTCCTTGATATTTATCCTTTAATATATCCCCAAAATCTTTTGTTGTCTTGCAAATAAGTGAAAAATGTGAATGAGATTCCTCAAACAATGTGAAGATTCCTACTCTGATATCGATGTTTGAATTAAGTTTTAAACAATCGTAAGTAAAATAAGAGTAAGTATGAACACCAAGATCTAAATAAGATCTTGATTCGGCTCAATTAATCTAGAATGAGTACAAGATGAGTTGCAATGAGAGAGAAATCTCAGTATGTATAAGTGTAAAAAGTTACAACACTTTAATGTACCTACCCTATTTATAGGATACTAACATATACAAAAAATACCAGGACTTCATCATTACATAACGAACCAATAATGTGCCTAGTAAATACAAACATATCGAAGTCTTATAGACCTTCTTCATTTACAAACTATTCGCAAATAAGACAACCTCCTAAGGTTCGACATATCACAACACAAATAGAATCGACAAGCTTCATCAAAACAAAGAAGTAAACGTAGAAGTAGAAAATATAAGTGTCATTCATCACAAACAGAGATGCATTCACACTATTCATACAAAAAATAAAGATCCTAAAAAAACATACAAACATAAAAACAACAACAATTATTGGTCAGAGCTAGTAGCAGAAGAATCCATCTCCTCCATTTGTTTCTTTAAAGAACTAGCATCCTCGTTATCCCCTTCCAACATCTTAAACAAAGAATAATTGAAGTTGGTCAGCTCAAAGAAGCATTAGAGGATCAAGTCGGTAGCACCAGGAAAAGAGTAGGGAACCTTAAGCCCAACTAACGCTTCAGGGTATTGGGACACCATTTCGACGCACTCTTGGTGTTGGCCAATCTGAACAATGGCCTCCAAAATAAATGCATTCACATGCCCAATATCTCTTTGAATTTCACATGGAACACATAAACAAAGAGATACCTTGCTTCAACAAACACTGTAGATCAAGGGAATGTTGCTCATATAATTGTTGGTGGAACAATATATCTTGCTTGACCGAGGCATTCTCATCTCCATCTCCTTGATACATTACTCTTTTTCCAAGGATGAACGATAGCCAGCAACCTAGCTCTCTAACAAGTTGATGGAGACATCTTTTTCAGAGCAAGCTATGTTTACGCTGGAAACTTTCACCAAAAAAAGAGTCTTCAAGTCGGTGAATTGTAAAGTTAGTTCTTCAACGGATTTGAATGATGATGTCTACTAATTTTGTGCCTCTTCCAATTTCATCTAAAGGGCAAGGTTACACCACACAACTCTTCTTGTCCATGAGAGGAGTCAACCAACTCAAGCGTCAATTGTGTATTGCTAGAAGATAGGTCGATATTCTCTTGTATCAGCTTTGTTTTCTCCCTCTCCAAGACTTGATAACTTTATCGAAGTTTATCCATGCATTCCAAAAGTTTGTCAAATAACATGCTCTTCGCAGCAGCCGCAGAAGCACGAGCCTTGCTGTGTAGCCTTCTAGGATATGGAAACGAGCTTTGTTCATTCCTTCTTTGTCGGTCACCTTACCAAGACCAGGCTTATTGAAAAGCTAGTATAGGTAAAATAATGAAGAAAGGAAGGTATAGAAGAAGCTAGAGGCATCAATGTAGGAGGAGGAGCTTGATTTTTTATAAGAATGAAATATGCATACACAAAAACAAAGTTGATAAAGAAAGTAATATTAGGGAAAAAATGAGAAAACGATATTACACTTACCAAGTTTTGGAATGGTTGAACCAGAAGGATTAGAACTAGTCACAAGCATACCCTTGGAAGGTGTGTCAAGAGGCGTGTTATTGTCCGAAGATATCAATTCTTCGACATAAATGGTATCAAAAGAAGTCATAACAGGAGCTACAGAGGTTGAATCAAATACAATAGGACGAGCCATGGTAGTGGTAGCTGGCACCGAGGTATGGATGCCGAAAACATTTCTTTAAAGGCTCTTTTGGATGCACCTTTCTTAAATAGAGACATCATATGAATGATTTTGGAAGTAGGCGACACCACGAGTGTCACTAGGGAATCAGTAGACAAAGCATGATCTGTGGTTGGAGTCGAAATGATAAGAGGAACCTGTTGGATGGGTTTGATAGTATAAATCAAAGTGATAGCCGATTGGATTCTGAAGCGGCTTCGATTATGGCGATCAACTTAGGGGTCGGAATGGATTGGGCACTCATATAGCTCAAATGACTTGATAGTGGCCTTTGGAGTCCGATGAGAATAATGGAGAAAAGGTAGTGAAGGTAATGAAGTAAGAAAACTGAAAGAAAGAAGAAGACAGTAAGTGAAAGAGAATAATGGGAATTAACGGCTTAATCGTAACCAATAAAATGATGAAACAGGGGCAAAATCCTAAAGTGACGGTTACTCGATAAGCAATGAAGATTTGAAAAATGATAACAGTCAAATCATTTGTTTGATTCGTCATAAGGACTTATTTGCTACCCATAATTACGTACAGACACCACAGATAATGGCTCAAATTCGAATCATTAAAAATAATTCGAACTTTGGGGGACTTAATAAGGTATAACACCTCTGGCAAGGCCGAAATGAACATGTTAAAGACGAACCAGACATGTCATGGCCAATCGAGGTATGTTAAGACCAAGACGTTGATGAAAAGGTGAAGACCGAAGATCCAACACAACATATGAGATTATCTGCTGAAGAGAGGACATTACAACCGAGGCCCATGAACGATTAAGGATGTTGTCAATGAACATTCAAAGATATCATATCATGGAAACATGGGAAATGATATACGATAGTCCATATTTACCCGACGGACGAAGGTAATTCTCAAATATTCATAATGACAAGACCGGCCACATTTTCCATATATCGCTTTTGTATCCTCGACCTAGGGAGCATTAATGATGATAAAATTGAGGCCTGCTCAACCCATATTTTTCCCTATTTCCCTAAGTGTTGTGGTATAAGAGCGACCCGACACCAATGTACCAAAGGTATGTAATCTAAGCCATTATCGACCCAATATCGAATTTTACCATAACTTGTTTACGGACTTTGACATCGGATCATACTACCGGGTCGAAGGCTCGACATACGTATAACAGTTTGTTTACATCTCAAGCTCAAACTTCCAAGTGTCAAGCATCTTCAAGTCCAACATTCGAACTCGGTAATTCTAAGAAACAACACCGATAACGAACGTGTTGAGCCCATTGGCAATTCATTACCTCTTTGTCGATCTAGTAGAGTTAATATGCCACCCAAGTTTTATGGTTTCCATATAAGGACAGATAAGGACATGTTTATTAGTGATAACATACTAGTAAATTTGGATGAGTCAGTTAACTATAAGGATGTGATGGCAGGCCCTAAGGCTGCAAAATAGAAAGAGGCAATGGATAAAAAGATCCAATCCATATACGATAACCAAGTGTGGACTTTGGTTAATCCTAATCCTGGTTGAAAGACTGTATGGTCACCATTTATGACCTGACGAGTCAAACACTTTAGACACTAACTGCCAACGCCAACACCAGCGTCACCACTAGAGCCAACATCAACACAAGACCTTATCAACATCAGCGTGAAGATAATGATATTGATAATCTTTTGTATATTAGGCACTTACTCGTATATATATATATATATATATATATATTAAATAGGTATCCGATCCATAATCTTTGTGATTAGGATCAGACCTTTACTTTGATAGGTATACATCCCTTAAGTAGTGGGATTTCAACTCTTGTAATTGTATATATTAAACAGTAGGGTGAATACCTAGTTTATATCTTGGTGACGGTCTTTGTGACCTTCGTTCTCTTGGTGTGAACACCCTTTCTTAGTGAAAGCATCTTTGTGATTACTTGTGTTCATTATTTTTCTATTTAATCTTTTCTTAGATAGTTTGTTATTTGTTATTCATACTTGAAGTGTATCCAATCAATACAAACCTTAAAATGGTATTACAGCAAGTTTTTGATACCCTCAAGTTGCCATGTTGATATCCTATAATCCCAAATTATCTTCTCTCAACAAGATCCCTCCTTTCGATGAGCGCAAATTTACTATGTGGAAAACTATGGCTACGGTTGTTCTTAAAACCATGGATTATGAGATGCTTAACATTGTTGAGAAGGTTCCTCATGTTTCTATGTATCAACCTATGGTTAACAATGCTCATGTTGGTCCCTAAAAGCAAAAGCAAAAGCTAAAGACTAGTTATGATGATAACATCGTTAGGATACTTGTCAGTCTTGGTGTGAAAGATTGGGCAACCATATGAAACTCTATTTCCTAGCATGTGTATCATTTAGCTTAGAACTATAAATCAACTCAGGAAATGATGGAGACGCTGATGGTGGCTTATGAAGGGACAATGGAGGTTCATGCTACAACCAGCAACAACCTCAATCGGCAATATGAGCACTTCTTTACTCAGTAAGGTGAATCTCTAAATCAAATCTTTAACAGGTTTTATTATTTGGTAATGATAACAGACTAGGGGTCATAAAGAATTCTACTTAGTTGGTTTTAAAGTTCTTGGTCTCTCTTGGAAAAAGCTAGGAACATCATGTTGATGTTCTTAATAATAATTAGAATATTAACTCCATGGATCTTAACTCATTGTTTGGAAATCTATGAAATTACGAAGAAACCAAAGATCTTCATAAAGACATAACGAAGGACTCGAATATAGAGAAGTTTATAGCCTTGTTCTCCCGAAAAGAAGTAATGAATCTCATCATCAACTCTGATGACTCTGATCAGGGCGAAGAAATTATTGATGAACTTGTTTCAAGTGTTGCATTGGTCGTTAAATGTTACGAAGAAATCATATCAAATGGAGTCTGAAGAACTCAGTCCAAGGGAACCAGTTTAGCAAGAAGATTTAACCTAGAGAAAAGAAACTCATGTAACTATTTTAACTATGGAAGCCCTGACATTTTTTCCAGTGACTATAAAGAGAATAAATAAACTCAAATTCCAAATAATTATGAAGTCTTATACATGAAGTTGTTAACCCACATGAAGAAGGAGAACATCTCTCTACCAAAGGCCTTCATTGCAAAACAGGAAGAACCTAAGGAATGGTTAGAAGAAAAGGAAACATATAAATATGAAGGGGAAAATGTTAATGGTCTTATGACTCATATCAATGATTCCACTAATGGTGATTCCAACAAGTGTGACACTGATACTTCTCAAGTTGTCCAAGAATCACGTCATGATCTGGAACATACTTGGTTTCTTGACAGTGGGTGCTCTAAATACATAACTGGTCTCAAGTCCCTCTTAACAGAGTTTGTGGAGAAAGATGGTCTGATTGTTGTTTTTGGTGATAATAGTGAAGAAGTCATGGGCGTTAGAACATTTGAGTGCAGAGCTTTCAAGCTGAAGAATGTGTTCTATGTCAAAGGCCTTAAAAGTCATCTTATCTCCATCAGTTAACTTTATGATGCTGGTTACAAAGTTCTCTTTGATTGCAATGAAGGAAAGTTTAATGATTCAAAGAACAAAAGTATGCTCACTGTACTCAAGGACACTGACATTTACATGATCTAGTTTTAGTTTGCTATGACTTTTATGCTTGAAAAATTATTTTCAAATTTTATTTCACCAAAGGAATATAAATTGTATATTGTGCTACTAACATTATGTGTGTTCTTCTCTTTCACCTTCTAAGTTTCAGGATCTTCTGTCTTCATCCCAACAATGATTTTAATTGATTTGTTTCTTTGGATAGAATCAATGTATCATTCCTTCGGTATAGGATCTTCATAGTAAGAATAGTTGGAGCTGGCTCTGCATCCTTTCTTCAGCGCTAACTGCTATCTTCATGACGTTGATACTCATGCTGATAGACATGAAGTATCCTGCCTATGAAGCTAGATAGGAGAGAACCATGTCTAAGAGTATTTTTCTGGGCACATATCTTTTCCCTCTCAGATAGCCTATCTCAATTGCAATGGGATGAAATGAAGCTAGCTAACACAACACGTCTAATTTCCATAAATGTTGTCATTGCTACACCGATTCCCATCTGAGATCCAAAGACTTCTTCAACAAGATAATGCTCCTTATCTCTTCTATTAGGGATCACAATGTATGAAACCTTTGAGTATTATCTTGGTTACTCTTATAAATTGAAGGTTACAAACATTGGATCCTTTTAACTTGGTGGTTACAAATACTAGTTCATGTTATTCTCTTGTTGTTGGTGAACATGAAGCTTGGAATTAATCTTTAATACTTCAACGATTAAAGGCATCTTTTCTCTTAGTTTGCTACAAATTGTGTTTTTTTAATATATTTGATCTTGTTTGCTTATTCTTTTATAGACAGTGCTGAAGGGAAGATATCTAAAAAAAGGGGAACTCATTTATGACCATTTATTTCAAAAGATCTGTTGAATCAGGTCTTTATGTATTTTTTGAAAAAGCTGCACGATTATTGCTTTTTGAAAACTTCCTTATTTGACTAACTTCTTTGTTTTATTATCATTTTATGTTTTTACCATATTAAATGAATTGATAGAGAATTTGATTTTCTAGACTACAAATCAACTCTATGATACGGAAGATAAACCACTTCTTTGTTGATGAGCTGGCATTGTTTATGATTCACGCTGATTTCACCTCAACATGATTGAAACACTCCATTCTTTCCTTATATTCTTCTCAATAAAACTTAATGATTCACTGTGATGAACCACACACTGATAAAAGTTTGAAACTCTATGCCAATGGTTACTATATATACCATATCACACGTACTGACCCCCTCTTGCCCATGAATTCCTCTTTAAAGCTTTATGATTCAGCGTAAAATACTATATGCTGACAAGGGCTTGAAAAATCTATGTCTATGGTTAAGCTATGTATTGTTTCTTTTTACACTCACCAATCTATTATCGCCATATATTATTCTTTAGAATTATAGGTATCAACATATGTAGCCAGACGCTGATGAAAATTCAAAAAATTTGTGTTGATGGTTATATCATTTTTCGTGATGTATAACACGCACCTACCCTTTCTTTCCCAATATTTATTTTACTAAAGAAGTTAATGATTCACTGTACTAGCCATACTCTGATAAAACTTCGACACTCTATGCTGATGGGTACATTTCATACTGGAATGTATTACATGCATCATTCCATTCTTACCCTTTATTCTTCTAATAAAAGAAGTTAATGATTCAGCATATAGAACCATATGCTAATGAGAACTTGTTATACTATGTCAGTGAATGATAGTTTAAACCAATACTATCAGGAGACATCACAAACTCACTTGATTACCAGCTACAACTTTGATATGTTGATTGCTTCCGCTGATGATTATTGTCGCTGACGCTATGTCTCGCTGATACATAATTCCTTTATCTTAATGGTAACTTTTGGATGACAATTAAAAGATGTAACAATATCTTGGAATACGAGATTTTTATGGCGTGGTTTTCTCCAATCATGATTGTGTAAATAGGAAGAAAATTCACGGATAAATTTGGAAAATTCTCTCTGCTAGGTCACTTTCTTAATTCATTCAAGCAGTTGATTCTCTCTCACAAAAAAGGGATTTCTCAACTATCATCTTCCTTAAGCTCTCATCATGTCGAAGGTTCTTTATGAGTTTGCTCCTAATGTTAATGTCATCAAAGGCCCTCATGCCCCTAATTCTCCCATTGTCATTCAAGCAAACAATGTGGCATTCTCTGATGTTATCACAAAATAGTTTAAGATCTCATGAATTGAAGACTTCGTCAAAAGCTGAACTCTTTGATATGCCTTCTGTGCCTTCCCAGAGACATTGTACCCTAAGCGAGTATGTGAGTTCTATCAATCTAGAGTTACTATCAATCCATAATCTTTTTCAATTGCTCTTCATCTTCCTCAATCAGAAAACTATTCTGAAATATCTTTTGAAGAAAGATGCAAGTCTACTCATTCAAGATTAGAGTATAACTTTTCCTTTCAGGACACCTCTCATGATCCAACCAAACACACCCTCTATCACTGTTATGGTGTAGGGTGGAAGTACTTATCTAGGGTGATTGGTCAATGCTTTGGACACAAAAATGGGAGCGTAGATCAGTTAAATCTATTTGAGCAACGAATTATGTATGCCATGGCTTGCAACAAAAGACTGGATTGTACTCAACTCTTTCTTTATCAGCTAATTAAATGTGTCATTGGGAGCAAGAAGTCAACATATGTTCCTTATCCTTGTTGGCTTGGACTTATTTTGGCTCGTAATGAAGAGAGTTATAATGTCAATCATGGATTCATCATTCAAATTCCAAATCTCTCCTCAAAGTTCATCAACGTTGATCCTTATGATAGAGATATATATTACTCATAATATGGAAAACTGGATTGCAAATCACTACGTTGTTAAATCCTTTAACTCTAAAGAAGAAGATGATGAAGATATTGATGGAGATTCTAATGACGATGAAGAAGGGGTTGCTGATGAAGAAGACGTTGATGATGAAGAAGATGTTGATGATGATGAATATAAATTTTCCACTGATAAAATAGAATCCTATGCTCAAGAAATGACTAATTCTCCTCCAAGATTGAACCAACATATTTGCTTCTCGTCATCCTCAACATCATCTAAAACTCTTTCTGTAAAAAAAATTCTAGAGAGAGGATCAACTCCACCTCAAATGAAACTCGCTAATCCACTAATTCAAGATGTGAGTTCTCCTAGATCATCGTCTCCTTCTCCTCAAGCTGCAATTGTTCCTCTAATGCCAACACCTTTTCAGATTGTTTCTACTTATTAGGGGGAGTCCAGTTCCAACTTTCAAACTGTTGTGCTCTCTCAACTCTCTCTATTAGTGCATATGACTTAATCTTTAGGAGAAAGATTGACCTAAGTAGAGAAATATGTGGCTGATATAAAACGATTAATGATTTTGGATGATTATGATGTGATGATTGAATTCACTCATCCTACCTTTCTAGGAAATCCACATCCACCTCCACCTTCATCATCAAATCCTAATCCACCATCACATCCCCCTCTTCGTACTCCCTCTCCACCACCTGACTCCCCTTTCCCAACTGATGAAGACAAAAGGGTGAAAAATCAAGAACCAATGGTAACTGTAATGGTGATTGCAACAACTCCATCTCATCCTGAAATGTCTGAATCGGTAAGGGATGATAATCAAAAGGCAATTGTTGTAGCTGAACAAGATGGTAATCTTTATGATTAGGATTAGATCTTTACTTAGGAGGTTACATGTATATATATGATAGATATCTGATCTGTAATCTTTATGATTAGGATTAGACCTTTACTTAAATAGGTATGCATCCCTTAATTAGTGGGATTTTAGTTATTGTAATCGTATATATTCAAAATTAGGGTGATACCCTAATGTATGTCTTGATGATCGTCTTTATGACCTTTGTTCTCTTGGTGAGAACATCCTTTCTTAGCGAAAGCATCTTTGTGATTACTCATGTTCTTTGTTTTTTGTTTACTTTTTTCTTAGTTAGTGTGTTATTTGTTATTCATACTTGAAGTGTATCCGACCGATACAAACCTTCAAAGACATTGGGTTGTAAATGGATCTTTAAGAAGAAGATCGACATGGATGGTAATATACAGACCTTCAAGGCAAGTTTGGTTGCAAAGGGATTTACTTAAACTAAAGGGGTTAACTATGATGAGACCTGTCACACCCCCGGCCGGCGGTGGAAAATCCGAGGTTTGACCTGTGGCACAATCCCAGAACATAAAATTATCTTTTATTAATAAAATCTATAATAGAATAAACTAAAAACCTATCTATCTTTGTGCAAGTTGTTCTTCCTTGTATTCAGCTTCCCTTCATCCTAGGAACACATGCAAATTTTGAAAACATCAACTTGATGTTAAAATTTTCATATTTTTATAAATTTTAATAAAAATCATTGAAAAACTTTTAGGATTATTATTTACGAGTATTTTTATCTTTCATAACTTCCTTATTTCCTAGTATTTTCAGATCTAATAATCCTATTTTCGTTTCTTGAATCTTGTCCTTAGGACATTCTATCTATCCTAATATTTTAAAAATTCATTTCCTTAGAGATCTTTCTTTCTTTTAGGATATAATACCTATCCTAATCTTTTATAATTTTAATTGAATCTTTTTAATTAAATCATACAACTACTTGAAGGTGTCCCTCTAGGTAATTTAAATTGAGATTTTCCAAACAACATTACCAAACACCCCGATAATCAACACTATGGACCGATATATACCCCAACACGATGCTTCATCAGACATCTAATACTATTACTTTTATACTTAAGAAAGTTATCATGCCTTGATTAACTAAAAATTATGGGTGGGGTGTTAGCCCCATATAGATCTATACATATTTTTCTGGCTCTCACAAGATTAATGTTTATAGGTTCGGGGAAAGTCGGATTTAATCAAGCTATAGGATGAATAATAACAACTTACTAACATGTGTTTATTTAATCTTAAGTATGATTCTCATTTTATCTTTTCCTTATTTAGTCTTTCTTTAATACCATAATTATTTATATACACTTAACCCTATATATAATAATTATCTTTTTATATATTTTTTTATGGGTTATGGTATCGTTAAGTACATTGTATATCTTTATGTTTTCTTATGTAATTATCACTTTATATATATATATATATATATATATATTCTTTTAGCATATATGTATGTGTGTGTGTGTGTATATACACACACACACACATAATAATTATGATTATTTGGTTAACATGATAAGGGCAGAGTAACATTTAAGTATAATGTTTATCCTAAAATTTGTCCAACATTACTTCTTGGTACTAAGTTATCCTAGGAAATCCACCAGCATAACATCTTGGTATAATCTTTTCCTAGTATATCGTGTAGCATAACGATTAGGCATAATGTCATTGCTTAAGACTAGGCAGAGTTTCTATCGGCATATTATCCTATCGTTTCATGTTTTTATATATAAACTACTAAATATTTACAAAATATATTTTGATAAAGCAGTTTGATAAGCATTTATTCCCCCTCCCTCGTGTAAAATCTTTTTAAAACTGTAAAAGTGGGTCGTGAACTCACTCTAGTAACGTAATCATGCAGACTCTGGCTGTTGCATCACAAGCTTCGCGTCATCAGGATGAGTAAAAGAAATGTCTAGCAAGAGAGTATAGGAATAGACTTTTGATGTGTGGAATTTTAGGTGTGGAATTTGAGAAGTGAAAGCCTTTATTTATATGGCTTATTCGCGCGGCATACCATGTGTGTGTCGTGTACACGATTTGTGGCTCCAACCAAAACTTGCCATTTGTCATACTTCTGGTGGGCCACGTCTCTCTATCTCGACGAATCCTGGTGCCAAGTATGCGTTGTGCATGGCGTGCACTTCGCGAGCACCTCTTAATTTTTTATAAAAATTTATATCTTCCTTATATGAAACTTGTTTCTTACCTTCTTTATATATTTGTGTAGTTGTCATTGAGTGCTACAACTTTCCTTAAGGTTACGTGTCAAATTTTAAATTTTATTTTTAACCATATTTTATGTTTTTCTAAAAATCGTATCTTCTTTATACGGACTCTGTTTTGACATTTTCATCTCAAACTTCTTATCTCTCAAAGTACTATGATTTTCCTTTAATGACTTTAGCCAAAACCTAACCGATTTATTTATACCATTTTGAAGTTAATTTCATTACTCACATGGCTGATTTTTAGTTTTTATAAAATCATAACTCCTCCAATTAGAGTCATATTTTTACAAAGTTTATATCCTTGGGTTCACGTTGATGTGTACTTTCCAAATACACTAACCATTATTAATAGAGGTATGACTTTTTGATCACTTAGTTTTGACCCTATTAACCTTTTTCCCACTTATAAGTCATAACATATCTGATCGTATTTTTCATATTATGAAAAACTCTACGACTTCATTGTCGATGCTAAATCCTAGTAACGGTTGTTTGGCGGAAAATTTTTAGTTGTTACAAGACCTTTTCACAAGTTTCCAAGATCAAGTCAATTAGGGTAATGTTTATCATAACAGTTTTTCATGATTATGAAGTATGGAAATGGATGTTAAAATTGTTTTCCTTAACGGGAAACTGACTGAGAATGTTTACATGGCTCAACCATATGGTTTTGAATATGCCAAATTCCCTAATAAGGTATGCAAGCTTGAGAATTCTATCTATGGACTTAAACAAGCATCTCGTAGCTGGAATCTTTTCTTCCATGAAAAGGTCAAAGAGTTTGGATTTTCTAGAAGTGAGGATGAGTCCTGCGTGTATGTCAAATATAGTAGGAGTGTAGTAACGTTTCTAGTTTTGTATGTTGATGACATACTCCTTGTAGGAAACAATGTTCCAAACTTGCAAGAGGTGAAGTCTTCACTTGAGAAATGTTTCGCTATGAAGTATCTAGGTAAGGCAACATACATTCTTGGAATAAGGATTTATAGAGATAAATAGAGATGTTTTCTTAGGCTTAGCCAAAGTACTTATTTGGGTACAATATTGAAAGGTTCACTATGGAGAATTCCAATAAAGGGGATTTACCCATACATCATACTATAAAATTAAGTAATGATCAATGTCCCAATAGTGATAAGGAAATAGATGTAATGAGTCGAGTCATATATGCTTCAGCTATATGATCGATCATGTATGTTATGACTTATACTCGACCTAATGTGACTTTTGCTTTGTGCATGGTTATCAGGTATCAGGGAAACCCTAGAACAACTCATTGGACAATAGTGAAAAACATACTTAAGTATTTGCGAAAAACATAAGATATGATCCTAGTTATTGGTGGCAAAGATAAACTTAAGGTGAGTGGTTATAGTGATGCCAGTTTTCAAACAGATCGGGAGAATAGTTATTCGCAATTTGGCTGGGTATTTCTATTGAATGGTGGAGCAGTGACTTGGAAGAGTTCAAGCAATGAACGGTTGTTGATTTACTTGTGACTCAGAATACATCACAACAATCAAGGTGGATAAGGAAGTAACATAGTTAAAGAATTTCGTTGGTGACCTTGGAGATGTTCCAACAATCCAAGAGCCCATGGAGATTTGTTTGCGACAACGACGGTGCGGTTGCTTTTATTGGATTAGGTGTCTAAGCCAATAAATAAATTGATATATACTTGAATAAAAAGCAAAGTCCTTTTTTGGGTTTCCATCAAAACTAGTAATTGACTAGAATGACTTTTAGAGAAAGATGTTGATTTATTGATTTATTATATGGTTAATAAATATCAATAAATAATTTGTTAATATATTATGAGATTAATATATTAATTAGAAACAATATTATTTAATTAATAATTAATCATAAATTAATTGGAATTAATTTTAGGATTAATTAGATTTATTAAAAGTGGAAGGTCTTAAGCTGTAATTGTTCAATAGTTGTACAAGAGAAGAATTATGGAATGTTCCTAGGGTTGGCCAGAATTTGGCTAAGCCTCTAGGGTTTCTACAATACTCCATGTGGATAATATAGATAATTAGGCAACTAGACAATTCTATATTTGAAATAATGTTATTTCAAATTAGGGTTTCTATGATTTTTCTATCAGCTATAAATAGGGCTCTTTGGACTCGCTGTATTCGTCTCATGCATACCTAGAGCAAGAAGAGTCGAAATTATGCTCCCGTCGGCTCTCTCCTCCTAAGTCTTCCATTGCTAGTGTTTGGGTACAAACCATTAGAGACATCAATTTTTGGTGTTAGCTTTGCAAAAGATTTGAAGAAATGAATTGTTGAT